TAAAAAATAAAAATAAAAAAAATAAAAAAATGTACAATGTACTAAAATGAGAAAAATGTAATTTAAAATTAAAAACTAGAAATAACATTGCAGTGAAAATTTTATTCATAAAGTTTTAAAAAATATATATGTTAGAACTATTTTCTAAGATTCCAAAAGTTGTGATTGTTGTTCACAGTTACCAGTGATTATTGAGTATAGAGTATGGTAGTATGTGACAGTTCATATTATTAGATTACTTCCACACTGTCAAAATTAATGTGTTGAATCACTTTGATGAATCTTTATTAGCATCATATTTAAAAATCATTACTACATTACTGCATTAATAAAGAAAAATCATATATTTCATCTTGCATCATTCCTGAAAGAACATTTCTCCATATATTTATATTGCTATTGTGTTTTCTCTTTTGTAATCATCTTTTTATTTCTCTTATTTTGTTCTTTATTACTGTCAAAATGTTTTACTTATTTGCCACCAGCTTTTGCTAATGAAGTTGACTTTAAAAATAGTTTAAAATTGGGGCTGGGGATTTAGCTCAGCGGCACAGCACCTGTCTGGCAAGCACAACGTTGTGAGTTTGATTCCCGGTACCAGAAAAAAAACAAAAAAAAAGAAAAAAAAGTTTAAAATTTATATATCAATATTTTGATATCAAATATTGATATCAAGTATATCAGTATTCTTTCAGTCATTCTTTCACTTTTAAACCTATTTTGTCAATATTTATTTATTTATTTATTTTGGTACCGGGAATTGAACTCAGGACCTCATGCTTGCCAGACAGGCGCTGTGCCACTGAGCCCCTTTTTGGTCATTATTTACTTGGTTTCCTCTACATTTTTATGGGTTTTTTTCCCTGTGAATCCAGCTGGACTTTGTTTTGATGTTTGTTGTGAAGTAGGATTTTAGTGTATCTTTGTTTGCTTCCTAATAGAAAACCAGTCGTCCAATTGCCAGTTTATGAACAATCCTACTTTTCCATCAGTTTGTCATATCTCCCATACTTATTCACAAATGTATTTTGCCCTTTAGATATTTTTACTATGCTTTATGGACTGATCAGTCTTAACTTGTCCTGAGCTTTTGAGCATTTAATATTTTTGTATCAGTAGGTATGGTGGCACATGCCTATAATCCCAGCACGGTGGAGGCTGAGGCAGGAGGATTGCTGTGAGTTCAAGCCCATAGTGAAACCCTATCCTGTCTCAAAAATAGCAAAAAAAAAAAAACCCAGGAATACATACATGTATAGTTTATATCAGGGTTAGTTTCTTCTCATTACCATAGTTTCTGAAAAATTTGTTTTTACCTTTATATTCTTCTGAATGAATTTTAAAATCATTAATTAAATATTTTAAAATTTCTGTTAGGATTTAAATTGCTATGTATTGAACCTATAAATTAATATGTTAAGAATTGGCAACTTTTAAATATATATCTAATTGGTTAATGTTAGCGTATTTAGTCAGTTCACAGAACCCATGTTGTTTCCCACATAATTATCAAAGGTGACTTAAAATAGTAACTCCTACCACTTTTAATATTTTTGTGGTCTTTTCAGCAATTATACCTCTGTTTTCTTTCCTATATAAACTGAATTTATGAAATAGTACTAGAAGGCAAAGGGACACTTACATGAACAATTAAAAATGTTTTTCCAATAACTTTTTTTGTGTTTTTTATGGCTTTTTTTCCCTTTTTGAGACAGGATTTCACTGTGCAGTTCAGGCTGGCCTTGAACTCACTTTGTAGCCCAAGCTGGCCTCGAACTTGCAGCAATCCTCCTGCCTCAGCCTCCCGAGTGCTGGGATTACAGGCGCGTGCCCCCATGCCTGGCTTTCTGGTTTTTTGCAGTACGGTCAGGCTTCCAGTAACTTCTGCGTTAGAGGAGGTGTAGGCACCTTCGACTGTGACACCAGAACGGTGGCTCAGTAGCAGCCATTTAATTGATCTTACTTTTGCTCAAAGTTGGTCTTATGTCATTGTAGCAATAAACAAATGTCTAGTAAGAGAAGCTACTGAAATTAGAAGGGAATACTTGGAGGTAATTAATTTCCCCTGAATGTCAATTCTTGCTTTCTTTCTGTTCTTCCTGCTGTGCCCAATCTTGACTTCTAGGCAGGTCGATTTGGACAGTTAACTTACGTCCGCAATTACCAGGGAGAGCTGAAGAAGGGTGACACCATCTACAACACGAGGACGGGGAAGAAAGTGCGGGTGCAGCGGCTGGTGCGCATGCACGCCGACATGATGGAGGCAAGTACAGGGCCCTCGGGCGCACGTGCAGCGCCGCCCTCTTGGCGTCCTGAGCCCCCGGAAGAGCGCTGCTGGTGGCACATCCGTGTTTTCCTTAGGTGTGGTGTTCTGATGTAGCACTTCTGTGCAGTCCTAATTGGCACATGTGAAGAGCTTATTTTATACCATTGGTTGTACGTTAGCATTATCTCCTTTCTCACTAAGTTTCAAGAAAGGGAAGAGTTAGTTCCCTAAGGATCAACACAAGAATCGGCACTTTCCTCAAGAGGTAGAAAGAATTTGATAGGCAGTTAGGGTAGTAGAACCGTTTCTTAAAGAGAAGTGAGAGTAATAAACCTGTGCATAATTTTTCCCATGGTTGTCTGAATTTGCTTTCTTCAATATGGAAGGTGTGAAAGTCCTATTTAACCCTAGAGGCTTTACTCCTATTATAGAATCCCTTACATGGCCATATTGGTACCAGAATCCACATGAAGATTTAAACATTCTCAAGATCTAGTCTTGAGACTTAAAGCTTTAAGGGTCTTTGACTTAAGGCTTGGATCGCTCTGATTCTTTCCAAGCCTTCTGTTGTCCTTTTTGTTAGGCCTTTGCAGGAACACCGGATGCGTGAGGTTGTCTTCACTTCTGCCCTTCTCCAGGTCAGCCGTACATTCCCGGAGCATCTTACTAGTCTAAGCAGACTTTTTGGGAGCCATAGCTTTTGTCTGTCCTGGAAAATGAGCAGGCAGTCTCAAAACTGAAGAGCTTTGCTGCGTCCTGAGATAGGCAGTAGGGGCAGCCCAGAGGGACCAGTGATTGTCACAGCTGTTTCTTGGGCCAGATGGATGAAACGTGTGCAGCTGCATCACCGTAAAAGGCGCATATTTACCTGCAGCTACTCTGAGTGAGCTGTCAGGATGAAGGGACAATAACTGGGAAGCTTGGAAGCAGCACTGTTTTGTTCTTGGCCTTCCTGTGTTTACTTGAGTGTTTGCATCTGTGAGAAATTAGAGATATTTTTAGTACAATGGGCCCCACACGTTCTTCTTTTGTTTTCAGAACTTCTTTAGCAGTTTTTCCGTATATGTTGTACACGATTACATTGTCTGTGGCAGTACACATGGTATGTGCTTTTTAATTCCATGAATATAATTTTGGAACCATGAGGCACTGTATTTTGTCGTTACTTTAGATCCTTCAAGTCATGAAGCTGTAGGTTTGAGTTCTTTACTTGAAATAAAACCTAATCTGTTGATACCTGTTTTAAATAAAGATCAGTTGAAGACTGGTCGTGGCTTGCTTGTTGGGGTTGCGTTGGTTATTCTCTTTAGCATTCATGGTGATCAGTGCCATGTTGTCCATGTACATTGCATGCATTGTGGAATTTCTTCATGGTTGCTATGTCTTGTATTACTTGCAAGTATCATTTTGCGTTACTTAGGATGTTGAGGAAGTATATGCTGGAGACATCTGTGCATTGTTTGGCATTGACTGTGCTAGCGGAGACACATTCACAAGCAAAGATAACAGCGGCCTTTCTATGGTAAGCTATTTCATTTCAAAGCCTTTTTTTACCTGAATTTCTAAAGTATGCGGTTTTATGTAGGGCATTGACTACATCAGTAGAACAGCTACTGGGCTGGAGACGTGGCTCAGTGGTAGTGTTCTTACCTTGCATGCGCCTCAAAAAAAACAAAAAACAAAAAAACAACCACAGAAGTTTCACTGAGTGCCAGGTCATTGAGGCTCTTCATCGGTTGTAGCTCTTTGAACATCAATTCAATAAGTACTTTGTGTAAGCTAACTTATTTGTTCTTTGGGTAAAATTCTCAAAAGATTAACGTTGAAGAAAAATTTCTAGTGGTAACATGTGGACTATAGCTCTGACTCCACCCTGAATGCTGTCTCCCTAATTGTTGCTATTACCATCAGGCTACTTCCATGAAGGGCTGTTTTCTTATTAATGCAGCAGGTAGAGAGTAGACCATTCCCTCAACCACCTGGAGAACTTCAAGACAAGCTGGTAGCATGTAGGCTAGACTTGGGGATGACAGAACATAGCCATGCTCAGAGGGCAAGATGCAACTAGCCAGTGAAACGTAATGTGGACAGCCTGCCCTTGAGAATTCAGAGGTCCCATTTTCTCATGGAGGGATCCTGAGAGAAGTGTGTGCTCAGGCAGTTCCTGCCTTGGAATCTCCTTTGTTAATTTCGCTTTTATACCCCTGTAGAAGAGCAGGCTCTCCTGTATGTGCTGTGATCATTTGTAATGAGGGTACCCCTCACCTGAATTCAGTAGGGGAAGAGAAGGCGTACATAGGGGATCAGGTCAGTTGCTTTAGATCATTTATATAAGAACTGGTCTATCTCTCATAGATGAGCACTGTAATAGTGCCCGTATCGTATGATGAATTTGTAATTTCATAACAGATTCTTTTGGTATAAACTATTTTCTGATAACTGGGTATAGCCTGTTTCACACACCTTAAAAATAATGTATACAATTTTTGTCTGAGATCTAGGAGTATTTTCCATTATTGATAAGTTCTTATCTGAATATTTTATCAGTTGCAATGTGACACGAGAGGTTGTGGGCAGAACTCACCTGGCCCTTAGCTAAGTTACTTTATCTTTTTTCTAAGCTTTAGTGGCATTATTGGTAAAATGGGGATAATACCTGCTTCTCACAACTGTGACTGATCAAATAAGATAGCTGTATAAATGTCATCTATATAAAGATTCTAGAACCCTTTGAATTTCCATTATCATTGTATATTTTGGCTAAATGAAGTACCTTATTGCAGTAGCAAGTATAGTCACAAGGCAATGAGAATTCCATGTGTCAGCGTTTGGATTCCTTGCAGTGGTTATGCTATACAGTTTAATTAATTAATTAATTTGCTTTGGGAGGGAGAAGATCATGTAAGTGGATGCTTTTATTTACTAACCTGTTATAGTAATATATTTATTTAACATAAAACTGAAGTATGTATTGTCTAGCTTAAAGATGTTGACTCTTGTGTGTTCATGTTGTGTAGTGAAGTTGCACACTAAATTAATTCATCCATGACTCTTATAATACTGTTTTTTAATTCTTCTCTGTCTTTTAAAAAAATATTACAGGAGTCGATTCATGTTCCTGATCCTGTCATTTCGGTAGCAATAAGGCCCTCTAACAAGGTAGGCGTTTGATTTAAAGTCCAGGTGATCATGGACTCAAAACTTGAGCTTTCTTTCATCTGTCTCTGCATATACATATCGTCATAACCAGCCGTTTGGTGGTCTCTGTTTCCTCTTTTTTATGTTGAGATCATTTTTTTTAAATTTCCCAGTCTGTTCCTAATAATTCTTTAGTATAGTTGAAGAAATTAATGGTATTTTAATAATCACCAGGCTGTTTTATAACTCTTTTACTATGTTATTGGCTCCACAATGATAAGGAAATCTTTGTGGATTCTTAAAATACTGAGAAAGAGGTAAACAGAAATATTTGTCTTAAATTGTAGTGAAACTTCACCATAAAGCACTTTAGGATGTTACATAGATTAATTGCCTCGTGGTTTATAATGTATGTTGAGATTTTGTGGTAGTTATGAAGTAAATGTCGGAATATAACATCAGGAAACTGTAGATAAGATTGTCTCACGTCCCAATACAGTTTTATATATTTTTTCTTTTTTGTTGATTTTTTGTTGTTGTTTCTGTTTTCTATTCTTTTCTTTTTCTTTGTTCAGTACTAGAGCTTGAACCTAGGACATCATGTGTGTTAGGCAAGTGCTGTACCACTGAACTATATCCGCAGTCTCCACCCCTCCACACATACTTATTTTTAAATTTTATTTTGAGACAGAGTTTGGCTGTGTTGGCTAGGCTAGTCTTGAATTCTCATCCTCCTGCCTTAGTAGCTGGGATTACAGGCATGCACCACCACTCCTGGCTAATTTTGTTTTATAGTTTTATGATTGGGTTTGATATCATTTAACATTTTACAAAGCCAAAATTGCTGGAATGTTTTGCATTTGCATTGCTTACCTTTGGAATTAATCTCATTTTAAGCCATACTTAGTGCCTGAGTTGCCTTGGCATTCATAACAGAGTCATGTTAACATGGTTCATTGGGATTCACTTATTCGCATATTGAGTGAACCTTTCGTGACTTTTAGGAACTGTCGTTACAGAACAGAGCATATTCTGATGAATATGTTACGAGAGATATAACAACTACATCATCTATTTTGAGGAGCCTTGAGATTTTCCAGACGTTTTCTCAGTAATATGTCTTAGTGACTTTCTCGTGGCTGGGGCACAAACCCGACACCCACAGCTTAAAGGAGGGAAGATTTATTTTGGCTCATAGTCACAGAGGTTTCACTACACAGTCAGCTGGATCCAGGCAGGGCATGGCAGAGGAGAAACAGTCCATGCGTGGCAGTAGAAGCAAAGAGATCAAGGGAAGAGGAGGGCGCAAGACCTTTCCAGGCCATACCCCCTTATCCCCTCCTCCAGCCAGGTCTCACCTCCCACATCAGATTTAGCTATAAACTCATGAGCGTACCAGTCCACTGATGAGTCTTACACCCTGATGTTCCAGTAACTTGAAATCCCCGCCTGTGAGCTCATAAAGCTTTGGCAGGAGGCGTCCGGATACTCACTGAAACAGTATAAAAGAGAAGCTGGGTTGGCAAGAAATATCAATCATTTCACCTTCTTAGAAACTTGGAGAAGAGTGAACGTTCCATCTCACTTTAGTAAGGTGCAGTATTTGTTTCAAGTGCTTTGCTAAGATTGCTTGCTTTTCCCTGTAGAAATATGCAGGGTTAGCTGGGCATGGTGGTGCACTCCTGTTATCTCAGCACTCGGAAGGCTGAGGCAGCCAAAGGGGTGGCAGCGCCTCTTCCTCCCATCTTTTAATGCTAGCAACAGTGGGTTGAACCTCTCATGCTTTAGATGTCTGCTTTTTCCATCACTGCATCTTTCCTACCCACCTTTTCCTTCCCTTTCCTTTTTTTTTCGTTTTTGGTTTTTTTCCGGTACTGGGAATCGAACTCATGACCTCACGCTTGCCACGCAGGCGCTGTGCCACTGAGCTAAATCCCCAGGCTCCCCCTTCCATTTTTAAAGGTACATGTGGTAACATAGGACCCAGCCAAGTACTCCTCCTGTCCTGAGATCTGTAACTTTGATCGTATGTGCAGGATTCCCTTTACCTTGTAAAGGAAAATATTTACAGGTTAGTGAGTCTTAGGGCATCTGTGGAGGGCCCATCTTTTGCTTGCATGTTGAATTACATCCAAAGAATCAAGGTGCATCGCATACCCCTTTGAAAGGGAGAAGTCTCAGTGTGGTATTTGCCTTACTGTTGGGCTGAATAGGATAGTTAAAGCTTTTGAGTGTATGAACAAGTCATTTGATTATATTTTAATTATATTTTTCATAGGATTTCAAAGGAGCAAAAAAGATTCCCCTTTCCACATACTAGACACTTCTCCACTAATAGCTTTTGTCAGTGTAAGAGGAAAGGTCGTAGACTCTTGTTTTCTGTGTTGGTATGGAGAGAAAATTTGTTCATGTAGCTATACCCTGCTGTCTTGGCTGTGTGGCATCCAAACTTATGTTTCAAAAACATGCTTCAAGTAGATCTAAGTGTATATTAAGACATAAAGATAGGGGCTGGGGATTTAGCTCAGCAGCACAGTGCCTGCCTGGTAAGCACAAGATCATGAGTTTGATTCCCGGTACCGGAAAAATACGAAAAAAAAAAAAAAAAGACATAAAGATTTTTTTTTATTTTAAAAATTAAAAAAACTAACCTGAAAGAGTAAATAAAATCTGAAAGGTACAATAGATATTGTGAAAGGGGAAAGAAACTGCTCAAATAGGAAGGAGCAACTGGGATGAAGGAGGGGAGAGGAAAAAGAAAGGAGAAAAAAATATGTATATGTATACAGAGGATAGCTAGGATAACTGTACTACTAATATCTGTTGGTTTATTGAAAGGAACTGTTGGGGCTGGGGATTTTGTTCAGCGGCACAGCACCTGCCTGGCAAGCATGAGGTCATGAGTTCGATTGCCGGTACTGGAAAAAAAACAACAACAACAAAAAAGGAACTGTTAATGTGTAACTGTCTGATCAGTCTTGCATGCCTATATCTGGTTATATGTGTGCAGCCATTTTGAAGATGACATTCTGTAATATAACAACCATTATTAATATTCTATCACCATGTTTTGAAACTCAGTATCATTTTTATTGCTCTCTATGCTGTTTTGTTTATGTATTTGTTTTTGTTATTTTGGTTTTTTTTTAATGAAAAACAAAATTTATATGTATATATAAGGATAGCTGGATAGGTGTATTGCTGATGTCTGTGGTTTACTGAAAGGAATAGTCAATGTTTAAAATTTTTTTCTTGACCAATTTTGCATGCTTGAATTTGGTAATCAGAATGACTGGTCTGAAAACAATATGCAACAGAAGAACCATTGCTGACATGAAGATGTCTTAACTGCTGATGTATCTGACTTTCTTCAGAAGTACCACTGCTTACCATGCTTAGCAAAATATATGACTTTTCTTCTCTTACAGAATGATCTGGACAAATTCTCAAAAGGTATTGGCAGGTTTACAAGAGAGGATCCCACATTTAAAGTCCACTTTGACACGGAGAGCAAAGAGACGATTGTATCTGGAATGGGAGAGCTACACCTAGAAATCTATGCCCAGGTAATGGATAACAAAGAAGTTGAATTGCATTTATTGTTGTGTGTTTCGTGCGGAGTAAAACTTGGTAATGCTCAGTGTAATGACTAAGCTAATAATGGTTGTTCAAGCTTTACTGTGGTTCGTACTCAAATGGAGCACGCTGCTTCTTCCACTGTGTGTTACAGATTAGCACTGGTTACTACATTTTTTTTATTTGTTAATCATTGTGGACTTCTAGATTCAGTTATCAAGAGATTTGCAGTGAGACCATCCATCCATCTATTCCCAGATCATGGTTAACTGGGTCACGTAAATCCCAGGTCCATCCATCTATTCCCAGATCTTGGTTAACTGGGTCACGTAAATCCCAGGTCCAGTCCTCGAGTGACAATCTGTAGTCATACCCACTCTTTGGACAGTTTCTTCTTAAGTCAATTCTTGAAGATCTCATTATAGTGCAGATAAAGAAAAGGTGTTCTTAGGCATATATATGTACATACATATGTGGGTACATAAATGAAAACAGAAGATATGACTGGTAGTTGTGGCATGATCGTTACCTTTGAAGTGGAGAGAAAACTCTGACAGTTGATTTATATCTAAAATTGTGTAAAGGCATTTTGTGTTTTGAAATATCTCACATCTAATCCTTACAAAATAACTAAAATGATTTAAGATTTGGTGTTTGCTTATTTATTTAAATGAATGCTATGAAGGTATTTAAGATACTTAGTTTTTCTTTGTTTATTTTTTAAATTTCATTATAGCCAAAAATTATCTCATTTTTCTTAGAGAATGGAAAGAGAATATGGCTGTCCTTGTATCACAGGAAAGCCAAAAGTCGCCTTTAGAGAGACTATTACTGCTCCCGTCCCGTAAGTATCAACATAATCAGACTTTATGAGGCTGAAAGTAAAACTGTATTATGGGATACACATAGCATTTTTACTGTTCTGAACACATTTCTAGGTAGGGACACCTCTTTTATGGAATATATGTAGATAAGATATTGTACGAAGTGACACTTGGGGATTTGTTTGGCCCCTTAGACTAGATACCGGGGAAGACTGGCACACACATCGTCCAGAGGCGTTGTTAGGTGTCATCTCCATGCAGGGTCTTTGTTTATTCCAGTGTTTCTTTTGGGAGACGGTTACTGTGTTTTACCTTTGTACCATACTGTGGATGCCAAAGAACTTGCATCTGCCAAGGAGTAATCTCCTGCAAGTTAAAAAAAAACAAAAAGCCAATGCCATGATAAAATTCAGAAAACAAAATAATTCAGTTTATATTTTGTGGAAGACAAAATAAGTTAAACTGCTATGAATATAATATACTTCAACCTGGTGCCTAGTAAATTTACATAAAATCTGATCTACAGTCAAAATTAATACAGCATACTGTGGCTTTAAAAGGAGTCTCGATTTTTAAAGTGGCATCAAATGAAGATAAATTATACTTTACCTGCGAAGCAATGTCATGAAGTAGAATGGTATAGTCTAATTCAATAAAGTCATCATTTCTTTGCTATGACAAAAAATAAAAAGGTGTTTAAAACAGCATCATTGGCAAAAATGACAGTTTGATTTTTAAAATAGCTTTAATTAATAGATAATTGTAACACTCCCACTTCAGTGCTGTATTTATTTCACTTTAGCTTAACAGAAAAACTGCCAGTATTCTCACATTAAATAAGTATTCTTTCAAGGCAGGTGTGGTGGTACACACCTGTACCCCTGCAGTCAGCAGGCTGAGGCACAAGGATCGCCAGGAGTTCAAGGCCAGCCTGGACTACATAGTGAGTTCAAGGCCAGCCTGAACTGCATAGCGAGACCGTGCTAAAAAACAAAACAAAGTAAGTATTCTTTCAAATTACATTTTAGAGTCACGATTTTATGTTTGTTATTATTATCTATATCTATTTTTTAAGGAATGGTAGCTACTTAAGAGCATTATTTGGTGTAGCTTGTTATTTAAGAATCATTAATATTTCCTTCATTGAGAAAAATCATCATTTACTTAATAAACTATATTGCCGGGTGTGCTGGCACATGCCTGGGATCCGAGCTATTTGGGAGACGGAGGCAGGAGTCCAAGTTTAAGGTCAGGCTGGGCAATTTAGCAAGATTCTGTCTTAAAAAAATAGAAAAGGGCTAGGAATGAAGCTCACGGGTGGAGTGCTTGCCTGGTGTGCTCGCTTGAGTCAAATCCCCACTACTGCCGAAACAAGGAAACTATATAGCCAGGAGTGCTTACACTGAAAGAAACCAATTTGATGCTAAAAATTCTCTTTCAGAAAACAGAAAATGGTAAAATATGAATGTTGTCTGATGTTTTCATTAATGCTTTATTCTATACTGCTTATTATTTTGGGACCAAAAATATGCCACCAGCTACACAGAAAGATTGTACCTTTGTAGATCATCCTCAGAGACTTGCTATTCTACAAAAGACTCCTTAAGATGTTTAAACTGGTATATTGAGACAAACCCTAAATTCCAGCCAGCTCAAACTATTGGGTTTCTTTGGTTAAAAGTGATGATAAATGTAGCTCCAGGGTCACACAAGAGCATACCTTTCTCTTTACAGTGTCTTGAAGTAATCTTTTCTCTGAATATATCAACAAAGAATGACCCTTAAAGACAATGTATACATCTGTAAGAGTTCTTACTTACAGATTTTAATAGGTAAAGCTATATAATGCATATAAAGTAAGCAGGAGTTAAACCCTTCTATTGAGATTTTCATTAATACTTTAAAAAGTCACAATTTGGTGAAAGGTTACATTGAGAAATCTCATTAGGATTTTTAGGGCCTCTGCACCTAGTCTCAGTTACTGAAGTTTCAGAACCTGAAAGGAATATTATAATCAAGGTTATTGTCTGTGAAGTACATTAGGAAAAAAAGCTTACCCTGTTTCTGAAAATGTAATACTTAGTTTAGGTTTTGTTATTACACGCTAATTTTTGTAATTGGGTATTCTGTCCTCCAGTGCAAGTAGGTGTGTAATAAATAGTTTCAAAAGCCTTTGCAGAAAGGTGCTCTATCTCCCTTACAGTTTGTTACCAAGAGGCTAAAACAAGGCAGAAATAAAGCCCATTTCTCCCATGGAGCTAAAACTTGTTTTTTATGGTTTCTTTGCACTTTTTCTTTTTTGGCTCTTTACTAAAGCTAAAAGCAAAGAGTTTATTCTTATGTCTTTAAGGTCTACAAAAATACTTAGCACTTGCTAGTCATTACAAGGCTTGCAGTAAATTGTAGATTATGGCTAAATGGGTTATAAAAGAAAATGATATACAGCAATCTAAGGAATGAGTAGTAGAATGTTTGAGAGACCATAGAGCAAACTTCACCAAGCGGGCAACACTAGTGTTAATCCTGGGGGGACGTGCCAGCCGTATCTCTAAGTAGCTATGGCACTACTCTCGAGTAGAGAATGAAAGCAGAGATGTTTTCAGTATTGCATGACATGAGTAATTTGACCACAAAATTTAGATTGCTAAATGTAATACTTTGTATTAAGCTGTGCACAAAAACTGCAAATTATAACTTGACTTCCTTGAAATTACAGCTTCGCTAGTGATGGCTATAAGAAAAGAGCTCTGAGGACATTTGCGTACTACCTTAGAGACCAAGGAAATCATTACACATATAGAGTATATACCTGGGATTTTGTCTTACCTCTGCTAGTAGACCCTAACCTTTTACTGTAGAAGAGGGTTTGAGTGAATTGGCTTAATTTCACTTGCCTAACACGAGAGGTTTAGAGACCATCATTACCATATTGTCCTGCAAAAGTGCAATGTAAATACTACTTTTTTTTTTGGTACTGGGAATCGAACTCAGGACCTTGCACTTGCCAGGCAGGTGCTTGTGCCACTGAGCTATATTCCAGGCCCAGAAACTGCATTTTTTTTTTTTTTTTTTGGTACTGGGAGTTGAACTTATGACCTCAGGCTTGCCTGGCAAGCACTTATGCCACTGAGCTATATCCCCAGCCCGATACTACTTCCTAGCAAGGTTTCTCTGAAATCTTTGGGTTTGCCTTGGTATTGTTATGCTGTCTGGTCAGTCTGTGAACTAACCAGCTAACCCAGCATAGGCAGTAGGAGGACAGATTTCTGGCAAAGGAAAGTTTTCATCTCTTAGCCAAATGAAGTGACTTTTTTGGACAGGCTGCTCCTGTTTGGTCTCTCCCTTCCAGTCCTCTTCTTCTCTAGTCTTGATTGGAACTAACTTTTTCATAATACCAAGTTTACTACTGTATTTTGAATGCAAAATGACTATAGGGACAGTATGAAATGAAGTACTTTTTATTAACATTAACCGTAAGAATGTACTTTATAGAGGTTACTTACCACTTGCTTGACAGTTTGAATTTTTACCATTTTATACCATGTGTCTTCAGTAGAATTCTGCCATATTATATAACCACAGGCAACCCAGGCTAAGTGTCGAACTGGCTTCATCTGTGGAGGTACATTTCCAAAACTATCTGGTGGGGAAAACATTTATCTGTTAAACATAATCATTCTGTACATTTTATGCTAACCTTTTACAAAAATCTAAATTCTAAGTCATGTCTTAGTTTTCTTCAAAAGTGTGAAGAAACATGGATCTGTAAAGTTTCAAGGCTGCTTTTTTTGTTGAGTTACTTTGGAAATGAATATTTTTGCCAAGGCCAGGATTTTACAGCCTAACAATTTTTGCCAAGGCCAGGATTTTACAGCTCTAACAATTTTGAGCATGAGTAAAGTCAGTCTTGCAGTTGAAAAAATGGTTTTCTACACCGTATATATATACCTGGAATATTTTGTGCTTCTAGTGGTTCCTTCATGGACTTGAGTCTTTGATAAAATGTGTTATCTTCTTCATCCGGGTTCTTCCCAATGTCTCCTTCAAATGTGAAGTTGACTTCTGGTGCAGAGCCTTGTCCCACTGGAGGGTAAAGTACTTCAGCAGTGCAGTTCACTGTAACTTGCTGTTTGAAACATTTTTACAAAAGATCCTTACTTATAGATGACTGGCTCTTACTAATTATTATTCTCTGAGTTCGGATTTAGAGCACTGACTGTTAATGGTGTTTCAGACTTGATTGCAGAGTAACTGTATTGAGAGGTATCCAATTGGGCCTGACCCATTAATTTTCTAAAGATACCATACAAATACCCTAAAATAGATATCTTACCTTATACCTAAGTCTCATAATCTTGTAAATTCCAATCCTAAAACTTTGAATATATTTCAGTATTAATGGAGGGTTCATTTGCAAGGCCAGATTTTAGTCTGACTTTATATACCAACCCAAGACATATTTTTTCCTCCCTGGTGCCTGGAAATGGATCTAGAGTCATAGTATGCACTTCGACAGCGTCTCACTGAATTGCTCAGGCTGCGCCTGAGTCTCAGTCCTCCTACCTTGGCCTCCCAGAGTGCTGTGATTACTTTTTAAAGTTTTTCTGTAATTCCCACTTTTTGCTCCTGAAATAACACAGGTTTTCAAGTGCAGAGAGAGCAATCTCTATATAATAAAGTTAAAAGGTTATAGCCTATGATTATGATTCATAAAGATAACTGCCTAGCAGTTCAAATGCCTTTTAAGGACTTTCCTTACATTAGCCTTTATCTCTTCTGAATGATAATAAAAGAGCAAGCTTTTTAAAATTTCAAGATGGTTATATTGCCATTTGTAGTTATTTCCTTTTAACTTTGTCTCAATAATTTGGCAGGTATATATTTTAAAATTTCCTTGCCCTATTACTGAAAGATACTTAACAGTGGTATCAGTTGACCATTCTATTGCTCATAAATATCTAAAAACACTCGCTTTCTTTAAATTATCAAAAACAACTAGAAAGGTAGGCATAAGAAAGTGGTCAAGACTGGAAAATCAGTTACTCAGTCATACAAAGCATAAATTCAGACTGCCCTATGGGTGTAATGTAAGGTAACTTACTGAACTGCAGTACAGTCTATTTTCTAAATATTACAACAGAAATAACTCAAGATGTATCTCAATACACAAAGAGAGTAAAAATTGACGCATTTTAAGCTAACACTAACCCACGTGGTTAGTGTTTCTTTGTTTGTTAAAGTCACAAAAACCATAAAATATAGTAGTTGCTTAGATCAAATCACAGCAAGGATGATCTTGGAATATTTAGAAGCAAATTTTATTTACTAAAAAAGACATTTCACTTACTTTTTGGATAATTTCTTCCACAGAAAATTTAAGGTGGTATTTGTGTCCTCTTCCTGGAATATCCTGAAATTAAGAAAGTGTGGCAGAGGGAAGACGGTATTATAATAACAAATCAAATAATTGCATTGTGAGGAGCATCCGGTCTCTTGTTTGGAAGGACTGGCTGGTGGGGGATGAGGAAAGCCTTACATCTTGAAAAATCTGCGTTAGCAGGTATACAGTATCTAAGTTAGCAGGTTCTCTAGCAAGTTTATTAAGAAAAGCATAAAAATAAAATGGGCTTAGCTCAGTTTTAATCTCAGATTTACCTTTCAGTCTGTCATCTTAATTCTTTACATAAGAAAATCTGCAGCACCTTTTAAATCTAAAAATGACAGGTACACCTTTGCGATCGTTTCCTAAAGCCGGTGCACCCGCCACAGTGTGAGTGTGAATTCCATTTTGAGGCAGATGACTGCAAAATGGTTGGCAACCTAGTACGCTGACGCACTGTTTTTACTTTTGTAACACTGGACCCACAAATACACTTTAACAAATTTTGTAACAGTGGGAAACGTTTAGATATTTCACTTTTAAATCGAGAGACAAATTGAAATGATGTCTGCTGCTGTTCCTGAATAAAGTGTATTGCCTGTTAGCTCTTAAGGAGTCTTCGCAGTTAAAATTCTGTCAGATAAATAAAAGTGAGTGACAGCCCCGGAATCCATCCAGTTAAGATGCTGAGGCCATAAACCTTACTCTTGCCGTTCAGCCAGAGGAGCACGTGTATAATCTAGGCAGTCGCTGCAGCCCGGGTGACTGGGGTCTTCGGATGGCTACAGCGGCATCGGTCCGGGGTGCTTTTGTTCTCTGGTGGTCAGTTTACCTTGCTGTTTGTTTCCCGCCTTCACGTTGGTCAAAGGGGCTAATAAGGATTGGCCTTAACATGTAGGCAGTGGTGAGTCTTTCGGAGGATGGGAGCTTTTGTTGATCAAGACTGAGTAGTTATTCCAGGACTGGTCAAGAAACCGCGTAGCAGCTCTAAGATTCTTTTGAATGAATCCTACAGGTCTCATTTGAGAAAATTCCCACCTTATTTATCCCACTTCCTTGTAACAGTGCACATAAAAGCCGTTATCGATATTTCTGCCTTACGGTGAAAATAAAAAAAAACAACCCACAACAAACTGTTGCAGCTGTCGCGGACGTCCGAGGGCGGGCCTCGGGGACGGGGTGCGGCAGCGCGGAGCGGCACTCACCTCCTTGCGGGCCTGCTGTACAGCCTGCACCAGGAACACTTTGTGGGGGCTCCCTTGCTGGTAGTTGATGCAGCTCTCCGCCACCGAGGCCGCCCTGGAGGCTGCGTAGTGGTTGGGCGAGATTTCCATGGGGAGAGCGCGGGCTGCTCCGGCTTATCGGGAGGGTGCAGGCGCGCTCTGCCGCCTGCCGCGGAGCTCCTGCGGAAGGGCGACGCCTGGCTCGGGCTGGGAGTGCGCTGGACTCGGCTCCTTCTCCCCGCTTCCTCCTTCCTGGAAGCAGCTCTGTGCGCCGTGCTCCCTGTGTCTGGGAGCCCTGGGCCTCCGGCCTGCGAGCCCCGCCCGCGCTCTGAGCCGCCCCGCGCTCCTACTGGAGGAGGAGCTGGCCAATTGCTGCTCGCCAGGGAGTGCAGGTGTGGGCCGCGGCGGGAATTCCGTTCCAGCGCTCACCTCGACCGAAAGGGAGGGCCGGGCTTGCCGGCCTTTGCTCTTACAGTGGCCGCTGCCCTTGGAGCAGACTTGGACACTGCACGGGGCCTCGCACAGGGCAAAGGGCAGAAGTGTGCCAGGTAGCGTGAGGCCTGCCTTTGCTCTTCCGTGCTCGACCCCAGGCGCAGGCGTGCTCATCCCCAGCTCCTGCGGTTGCATCCGTTCTGCGCAGATTCAGCTATGAGAGACTGCGGGACACACAGCACAGTAAACTAGAGGATGATATAATTTGGATGAGAAGCAAATTTTTAAAATGCTACTGTCCACCACTCTGCCTTTACTGATCTTAGAAAGATGAGGCTTTTGACAACATCACGCTTCTAACTTGAATCACTTTGAGTATTTCGGTTTCATGATTACAACACACTTCAAAACTGTATACAGAGTATTACATGAAATAGCTTCGAACAAAAGCAAGGTTTAAAGCCGCTTAAGCAGCAGCAAGCTCGGTAAGCAGTGCATTTTCATGCTTATTTTCTTCATTCATTTGTTTTGTCACATTTAAGAAACTGTAGCTTAGGCTGTTCTTTGGGTAGGTCAGGAAGCTGAGGTTTCTGTTAATCAGAACTATGCCCAGAACTTGCCTTTGGCTGGCCGACTTAGAGATTCTGCTCTTTTTTAAAAACATGTTTTGAAGGCTCTTTGGGTAGACTTACCTGTTTATGTTGTGGTTAATGCTGTAAAAAATAAAGTGAACAAAAATGAATCTGTCGCAATGTGTTGCTGTCTTTATAGGTTTAAAATTTATAAATGAAGATTTTCTTTGAAGTACATTTTAAAAAATAAACAATAAATTATTTTTCATCCTTTCTAGTTACATTAGCCAACAACTGAAGTATCTAGAGGATGAAAAGGTTGCTTTACTTTTCCTTTTTTTTCCTGAGGGTATTGCTATGTAGTTCAGGCTGGCCTGCAAGTTGTTGCGATCCTTCTGCCTCAGCCTCCTAAGCGCTGGGATCACAGGTGTGAGTCACCATACCCGGCAAGGCTGTTTTTCTTAAGCCTTTTTCTAAGAAACTGAAGGTGGTGGTGCTTTTTCTCTCCCCTCCCCTCCTCCCCTCTCCCCTCCCCTCCCTTCTCCTCTTCTCCCCTCTCTCCTCTTCGTCTTCCTTTCTTTGATGTCATTTGTGTGTCACCCAAGCTCTTAGGTTGTATGTGTGTGAACTTTTAAATTAAGTACTTCTTGGGTAGTGTCCAGATAAAGTGACTTAGTACATACTCATGACTCAGAAATCACTCTTCATTGATAATGAAATTTTAAGTTTCACAAATTGCTGGTTACATTTCTTAATATTTGTACCACTTAGAGAAATACGAAGTACTAAACTTTTCTAAAGTTGCTATTTGGAAGCCTTAAGAATACAGTCATCTCTGGATGAAAGCTAGTAACACAGGTTATGGCATAGCTGGCCTTTAAAAGTGCCTCTACCAACTTGAGCTCTCTTAAAAATATAATTATTACATTAAAAAACTTAGAGGCTATTTAGGTGCTAAATAAATTAAGAAAGATCAAGAAAATTAAGAAAATCTCATGTTTGGGTCCTTGAAATCTTAGTTACCCACTACAGTTTCATAAATGACTAGTTATCAGTCCATGATCCTCAAATTTGAAATGATGTGTAGGTTATCTTTGCAATAACAAAATTATTGTGGATCTGTGGGATCAAGTAAATTATACCATAAATTTATGTAATTGTATGAATATAAAACAAAAATGTGTGTGGTTTACAATTTTGGTGTGACTATACATTCAAAACTAATATAAAAATTAAAGACAACATAATTTTAACATTAATTTTAATGTGACAGGTGATGTTTTGCCAAAACTAAATTGCCTGTCTCATGCCAGTGGTCTGACCATAGGACAGAGGTTCTTTTGCCTTCGGCAGTTTTATATAGCTGCCTGCTAAGTGGTCTTAGTTTCTTTTCACCTTTTTATCTAAACTCCTGTAGAGTCTGTCTTCCTATTGTGCCCTCTAATGGCTTGTGAAGTGCATCATTGTTTGTAGGTTGTTCGTTTACAGTCCCTGTAAACTAGTATAGCTACTGTGGAAATTGGTATGGAGATTTCCTCAAAAAAACTAAAACTAAGAATGCCATTTGACCCAACTGTCCCCTTTCTAAGTATCCTCCTCAAAGAGTTAAAGTCATGTTACAGTGATGCGAGCACACCCATGTTTACAGCAGCACCATTCATAACAGCTGAATCTTTGAAACAGTCTATAAGCCCATCAGCAGACCGCTGGATAGGGACATGTGGTACAGTATTTGTATCCAGTGCAGTACTACTGTGCTATAAAGAAGGGTAAGTTTGAGGCATTCATATGGAAACGCATGCCTTGAGGCCATATGTTAAGTGAAATAAATCAAACAAGTTCAGGTATTGCATGGTTTCTTTTACCTGAGAAACCAAAATCCAGGAAACAAAAGATAAAGGAAGTAGGGAGATGTTTTCAAATGGGAAAGGAAACGAGATGGAGGGAGGGATGGGAAAGGGAACTATGGAATAAATTAACTACAGCTATCAGCGCTCATGTGTTCAAGTACTTGTTCTCTGTTCCAAAGATTTCAGGAGAGAATGCTATTCTTGGGAAGGGAGGCAGTCCAAGTGTGTACATTCTTCCAAATGTAGGTTATTAGATCAGGAGCCTTAGACTGAGCTTTTTAATTTGGAAATTCAGGATTAGCAGAGTTAAAAACCATCCCAAGTACAAGCAAGAACAGAAAGGGGAGAAATGTTTAACTTGTGCGATAAACTCTTGTAGTAGGGCCATCATATTCAAAAGAAAAGGTACAAGTGATGCAATGGTTCTTGTTTAAGTTAGTTAAGAGTTATTTGATTCTGTTAACTGCATAATGCTGTGTTGCTTTCCTCCCCGCTAAACCCCTTCCAGGTTTGAGTTTACGCATAAGAAACAGTCAGGTGGTGCGGGCCAGTTTGGGAAAGTGATAGGTGTCCTGGAGCCTCTGGACCCAGAGGACTACACCAAGTTGGAGTTCATAGATGACACGTTCGGCACAAATGTTCCAAAACAGTTTATACCTGCTGTAGAAAAGGTAAATTTTAACAAAGCTTTGTTGCACTTTTGATGATTAAAAAGTTTATTTGGTATTGACTCACAATTAAGATATATGGTAGTTCTTGGGAGTTTATGAAAGTTCTGTGTGTATCGTTGTCATGGAATAATTCATTAAGATCCCCAGCACCTGAGTGTGCGGTCATCTCTGCTGCTGGTCACTGTTCTCTGGTGAGTCAGTGTTCAGAACTAGTTCTTTTATTTGTAAACTGACTATAAAATACTTAACCTGCAGCCTTCACAAAATAAGGCCATGTAGCATTTCACACAGACAAGGAGTTAATGTTCTGTTTGCTTTGCACAGCATTTGCTTTAAGGCTGTTGTATACCTAATAGAATGTGATGGAAATATTCAATGAATGTATAAATTTTTAAAATGTATGACAGCAAAAGATTTATTGGCATTAATGCCACTGAAAATACCTCCCCTTGCTTCAAACAACTTATCCCGTTGTTCTTACCACTTTCTGGAGCACTTGTGGAAGTCTTGTTCTGTTAAATAATGATGTGTCATTAAAAATACAGTGAGTGTTGGAGCCGAGTGCGATCAGTGGAAGGCGGACTAATAAAAGCACTGCAGTGTTCCATCATCCACCTTAGTTACTGCGTCTGGCACCTTCCCCTGCTTCCGACTCCTCCCCAAAGTCAAAATGACCGTAAATGTAAACATTCTAAACTTAGCATACATTTACTAAAATTTAATAGATTGCAGCCACGACAGCACAACTAAATGCACTCATAAAAGAGGACTTCCAGAACTGCTTCAGAATGTGGCAAGAACAATAATAGCATGAGTGTATTTAAAGTAAGGGCGTACATATTGAGGGGGATTAACAGCAATGTATTTTTTACTATAATAATTTTCTAAACAAATTTTAAAGATGTACTGTATATTTTAATCACAGCTAGTAAGCAATTTTTTATTCCTATCCATTAAGCATTTGGGGTTTTTGTTTGTTTTGCCTTAAAAGTCAAACCGCCAATTTTGATGGAGGTTTTTGTTTAACAAGTTGTTTGCCTTTGCCTTTCATGTATCTCCATTGTAAAATTAAGATCATGTTGTGTTTGTAGCGGATTATGAGAGTCACGGTTACGAGAAGATGGTCAGTAACGCTGTCAGCATCGCTTTCTATCCAGGTTGCACCTTTAAGGAATAGACCTTTCCAGGGGAGTACTCATCTGGATGTCTCAGCAGTGCAATTTAAAATGCTAATTTAAACTTTCTAAAAATTTTGTTTGAGGGATGAAATATTAACAGACATAAGAACATTATACTGTGAATGCTAACTGTCTTGGCATTTTGGCAGTGCGTCCGGCAGGTGAAATTCCCTCATTTCTGAAGTCACATTTATTCATTAATAGGGGTTTTTGGATGCCTGCGAGAAGGGCCCACTCTCTGGTCACAAGCTCTCTGGGCTCCGGTTTGTTCTACAAGATGGCGCGCACCACATGGTTGACTCCAATGAGATCTCATTCATCCGAGCTGGAGAAGGCGCCCTTAAACAAGGTCTGTGCGTCTTAGCACCCTCTGCCGTACTGTGTCTGCTTTCCCTGTTAGACACTCAGGGTTCAGAGAACGGCACTGTTCTCAGTCTTCTCGACCAGGGAACGCTTGGTAGTGGATAAACATGTATAGATGGGAGGTGAGGATACATTACTGCGGTCTCTCTCTTGCAGAATTCAAAGCTTACCCTGTTCTTCCAAACTATATTTTTTATGTGTTTAAATGCATTAATAATCTAAAGTTAGTTTTTAATAGAAAAGATAAATGCTCAGAAATACAAGAAATGTTTTAAAGTTATGTTAACCACAATCATACTATTTTTAGTGAGTTATTTAAATGTCAGGAAGTCCATAAATTTGTAAGTATTTTTTTTATGTGTCACATTGTAGGCTTTTAGGCATTTTGAGAATGGCAAAGTATTTCGAAAGAATTCAGTAGACCTAGCCACCATGCAAACTCCTTGCTAAACAGATAAAACTGTCAGCCTTTTCCATGGAGAATAATACATATATTAGGTACCTGTATTAAACTCTGATGAACTAGAACCCCAAATAATTGTAAACATACATGACTCTTCGCCTTTAAGAGAAAAACTAAGTGACAGTATAATAATTTGACATTAGTGTTACTGAAAGGAGTTTCAAAGGTGTGTCCTGAAGCCAGAAAATTCATTCTTCTAGTCATCCGTATCGAATCTGTTTATTGTTTTGTGACTCACTGGTAAGTAGGATGCTGGCATAAAAATGAATTATTCATTTGATTCTTACTGCTTCATGATTAAAAGAAAAATGTTTGAAACATCACAGGTTGCCCCCTAAATAAATGCAATTATTATTTGTTAAAGAAAAATAAAAGTTAAATTATATTTGAAGTAAAAATAAAAATTGGCTTTTACATTCCTAGAAAAAGAAAGATAAAAATGTAACATCCGGTCTAAGGAAGTTCTTGCCAAACATAGTAAGAAAACCAACTTTTCAATATCCCTCCAGTGAACGCTGTACAAGCGATTCAAGGTGAAAATGTTAGTAATGAGCTTATCAGTTAAAATGATAATTCTTATGTGGTAGCAAAGTGAACTATTATGTGTTATATGGTATATTATCAGGATTAGAAGAAAAATACTTGTTCATGTTGTCATGTATTCTAATTTGAAATAAACTTTCAACTTTGTCCCTGAGAGGAATCAGTGATATAACTTAAAACTGAAATGTGCAGTTTAGTGTTCTCTGGCCATGTTTTACTCTGTGAATATGACCATGGCCACCGTTGTGTGTGGCCAGTTTGTAGAGTGCCGTAGTTGGTCTCCCCGGGAACACTGAACTGACAGCCACTCTGCAAGAGAAGTAAGCCCAGCCAGAATTATACTACCGGTTTACTTTCCTCGATGAGGTACTCTTCTCGATCTCCTGCCCCATTTCATGCCAGGCTTGGAGTTTGAGTCCAGACCCGCTCCTACTTACTGTGCAGAAACGGGCAGGTCCTCTGGACGTTCCCGAGGCCGCTTGGTAGTAACTCCATGGATGAACGTACTTGAAGGCATTGGCGGCGTCCGTATCCGGGCTTAGTGAATACCAGTCGTTCTTCCTGGTGTACCGCCCTTGACTGGCGCTGTGCCTTGCCACCCGTGCCACAGCGGTTTTGTCTCAAGAGTGGTCAGGATAGCATTTTGGATCGCTTATGTGCTGTGTGTTAGGCGTGTCCTGAATTATGCTTATCTCCATGTGGTGTTAGAGTTGAGAAAGCTCAGGCTCAGGCAGTTCATTGAACAGCCCAGGCTCATTTCACTTCCCGGTCAGTGCCAGAGCTTCGAGGTGAACCCAGGCGAGAGTCAGCCCCGATCACCCCCTCCCACGACCGCCGTAGCCCCCGGCCTGCCGTGCGGATGTTATTACTAGCGGGTTGATACAGAAACGGCGCCGTTTCTGTCTGCCACTTTGGCTTTAAAAAATCCTGTGATGCTGGCAGTAGTTTTACATCGCTCCTTAAGGAGCTACGGACCACGGACATCTGCGTGAGGAAAAAGTTGCTTTCAGGACCTGGCTGCCTCGTGGCTGTTGAAGGATGACAGGCGAGCCTGTGTCTGAGTCGCTCTCCCGGGCGAGAGTTGAGGGCATTTAGAAGGGCGAGGTTCACTTGAAAGGGAGTGAGACGGACTTGCAAGGAAAGAGGAAACGAAGGGAAGCAGGGTGAGGGAGTGTTCCAGCCCTGGACAGCTGTCTCGGTTTAGATCTGAAGTGTCCCCCGAAGGCCTCACGTATTCAGGGGACGCTGTGCTTGGCCCTTGGACGAGCTCCTGCCGCAGGTGCTGTTGGAAGGCGGGGCTGGTTGCAGCTCTGTCCTTGAGGGGGCGGCCCCAGCCCCTCCCTCTGCCTGCTCCCTTATGCCGTGAGCTGAGGGGCTTTGCTCCGCCACGGACTTTCTGTGGTGCTCTTTCTGCCTGGGAGCCGGCCGAACACGAGAGCAGGAGCGGAATCCTCCCCAGACCGCCAGTGCAGTGCACCTCGGGCTGCAGGTGACGGGACTAACACAGCGCGCCGTCTTCAGCGGGTGGCTCATAGGCACTGAACACGTGGCCTTTGCTTCCCTTTGAAATCCGACCCTCTCACAGTCCAATTCTTTTACATTACTGACGTGTTGGAAGTGCTAGACAGATGTAAAAATAAAATAGTCTTAGGTGCCTGTTTAGAAAAAATAAAACAAGAAAATGCTACATAATGTGTAACTAAATCTGGATGTGTCCGCTCACAGCTCATTCTGGGTCCCCTTTCCAAATTAGTCACATGTCTTCAGAGCAAAGGAGGCTTTGCCAACCCTAGAAACTCTACTAACCCAGAAGAGACGCTGCTGCTTCTGCAGTCTAGAATCGTTACTCCACTAGAGCTGTCTGTAGGGTTTGTCAGCGTTAGCCAGTAAACTTCAGGAGTTGGCTGCATTTCTGTAAGTTGAGTTATTCCCCTCTTCAGAACAGAGTTCATGAGGACAGATTAGTCAAAGGTAGGTGTGAGTGAGGATATGATTTACATTTAAAGATGTTTGTGAGAATGTTGATACTGTTAGCCCTCTGTATCCAGGGGTTCTGTATCAAAACTATTTTGAGAAAAAATAAATTCCAGAAAGTTGCAAAAAACAAAGCTTGAGTTTGCCGTACCCTCAGCACTGCTGAATTCCAGTGAGTGATGTAAGGTGTAAAAGCTCCACTGTTTCCTTCCCATGAGCCTTTGAGCATTGTTTTTCTCACTCTTGTTCATGTACTGCATAGTTAGACATGGTTGCAACAGCACTGAACACGCGGTCTTTTTTTGGTTACTATTCCCTAAACGAGACAGTGGAACAAGTAATTTACATAGTATTAGGTACTAGTGGCCTAGAGGTGATTCTTGAAAAACTAGTTGGGAGGTTGTCCGTGGGCTATGTGGAAATGCAGAGCCACTTTATAAAAGCACATTGAGCTCCCGTGAGTTCGGTGTCCACAAAAGGACCTGTAGCCAGTCCCTCACTTTTACTGAGGGATGTCTCTATTTCAGTGCTGTTCTTACCATTATTGCACTTAATCTAGTAGTGTCTCTAGAAGTGCTTTAATGACCAGAGAAGAGTGATTGCTAAATTATTAACAAGTCGATGCTTCTGAAAAGCTATGATTATTTTGAAACAAAAGTTTCTTTGTCATCTTTGTGTCTTAATGCTTTTGTTTGGCGATAGTACAGCCAGTCTGAGGCTGAAGTCTTATAAATGAACTACAAATGTTTGAGGTTTTATTATACTGTCCCCATGTTGTTGTACTTAACCATCAGCCATCATTTGTAATTGAAAGAAGTGTCCTGCTCCTGTGTTAAATTGAACAAAAACAGAGACATACATGTTGAGATTTAGTGCAGAGATGATTCGTAACATCTAGTCCGGTGTCTTTTATATTGTAGGAAGAAATGTGAGTCCTGGACAGAGCATGTTTTCACAAAAGCCATATACGTTACAGAGAGAGCAGAAACTAGAAACTGGTTTTCTGATTTGTTAGGTTGGGAAATTGTTCAGTTTAAAGAAAACACAGATCTCAGGAGTGACTTGATTTACCTTCAAGTATATGAAGGGTGCCTTCTGCACCCCCTGCCGTGTTATTTTCTTAGTATAAAAAATAAATTTCTGCCAGGAACTAACAAGAAAGAATAGAGTTAATTTTAATGAAAGACTTAAATAATTCCTGGAATCTGAAGATTTCCAAAGAGATTAAATGACACAGCTGGACAATTTTCATAATAAAGGACTTGATGACTGATGTTTTAATATCCTTTTATATTCTTCACAGTTTTATGAGCTTTAAGGATAAAAATATGGTAATAGAAGTAATAGTACAAAAATTAAATATTAATGTTATTTTATTGGAGTTAGCTTTCATATAGAAGGATGACTATTACTGCTGAGAAAATGCATCCAGATAGTTTACAATCATTTGTTGGTGTGACTTGGGAGAGTACCACCTGTGTCTTGATCATAAAGCTGGAAAAGAAAGAGTTCTAGTTTGTTTAATGATCAAAAAAATTTTTTTTAAACCCAGCTGTGGCCAGTACAACATTGTGTATCCTGGAACCTATTATGGCTGTGGAAATCACAGCTCCAAATGAATTTCAGGGATCAGTAATCGCGGGAATTAACCGGCGCCACGGGGTAATCACAGGGCAAGATGGAGTTGAGGACTATTTTACACTATTTGCAGATGTAAGTACTATTGGTCATTGCTTTTTAAAAGAAATTCTGTTTTAATCTTTAGAAGGAGATCAGTTAGCTTCTGTTTTTGGCAGTTGTAGAGCAAATTGACACATTTCCCAGTTGAATTTGTGGCTTCTGTATATGTGGCAATTTCTGTAATTTGCTTTTTTAGAGCAACTGTGTAGGCGTGATGCTAAAAATAAGATTCATTTCATCTTGGCCTTTTGTGAATGTGCTATTATTTAACAATTATTTTTTTCTTTCTCATTTTAGCTTTATTTGCATAGCTGTTGTATTATATTATGTATAATGTATTGGGATAATGTTTCATTCTCTTGCTCTCTACCTGTTTTTACTTAAATCTTGTGGGAGGAAATCTGTCATATTTCAGAAGGCCTCCTGGAAGACACTACGATCAGCAATATTAAATTACCCAGTGAGGGGTGGGCGGTACAGCTCAGTGATAGAGGCAGCCCAGGTTCAATGCCCAGCACTACGAAAAAAGAAAAAAGGAAAAGCAAGTATCCAATGGAAATTCGTAATAACATTTTCACAAAAAAACCCCACATTTTTCCCTGAATGCTTAAGCTGGTGGCAGAGAGTGGAGTACGGGTAAGGAAGGCAGGCCTCAGTGGTGTCTGCTGTGTAAACTGGAGTGCGTGGTTTCTGGTTGTGGCTCTCAAATACGGTTTCCACATGGAACGATACAGGTGTTGCTCTTTGGCTTTTAGTTCTTCCTCTTTTTTTGGACTGGGACTCGAACTCAGGACCTTGCACTTGCCAGTCAGGTGCTGTGCCACTAAGTTATATCCCCAGCCCTAGCTTTTAATTCTTTAAAATAAAAAGTAATAAGTAGGAACCTAAACCTAAAACATTACATAGCTTATATATCCTTGCATTTTTCGCAAGCATTTTTCAATAAGCAATGCTAAACTATCTGTTGCACTTGTTTTTAGGTCCCTTTGAATAATATGTTTGGTTATTCCACTGAACTTCGGTCGTGTACAGAGGTAAGCAAGTGTTTCAACTTTATTATAGTGCTTCTCAAAAGAGCACTTTATAAATGATCAAACTTGTGAAATCCTGACTGCATGACATGACAGTTGGAAAAAAAAAATTCATCCTGTCTCCCACTTTCTCCCTGTCTCTCTCTGAACTCCTAGGGAAAGGGAGAGTACACAATGGAGTACTGCAGGTATCAGCCGTGTTTACCATCTACACAAGAAGACCTTACTAATAAGTATTTGGAAGCTACAGGTCAACTTCCGGTGAAAAAGGGAAAGGCCAAGAACTGAACTTCCTCATTTTATTAATTTTAATTGAATCTGCAAGGTTTGGAAATGATAGATTTCAGTGGAAAAAATTTAAGTTGCTAAAACAAATTGTAGGGCCTTTCCTATTTCACATTTGCGGGCTTCTATTGTATTCAAAGATAATTCTACGCATATCTCAGCTTCGTTGATTTGGTTTTATAGTTTATTAAAAAAACCTCAAAAAAGATGATTATTACAGTAATGAAATGTATTTAATATTTATTTAAGGGAAGAGACTTACTTCAGCTATACTTCTAAGTTTGGAATATTTGTAAACTTCTTTCCAAATTTTTTTATCATGAACATTTTGAACGTACAGAAATGCTGGGAAAACAGTGCACAGAATAGCCATGTACCTTCTAGCTAGATTGAGCCGTGACTGTGGTAACAATTTGTATAAGAAGTAATCGTCTGTCTCACACACTGACTTGAAAGTAAGTTTTGTGTGTATCATGACACCTCTTACAGTGTCATTAGTGAGGCAGGCAGTTTTTGTGTGAGTGGATTCCACATGTTCTTTTTAAATTGTATTTTAAAGAGAAAAAAATAAAATTTCAAAACAAGATAATAAAGTAACAATGGTTAAGACATTGCATATTATCTTCAAAAGTAGAGAAGGGCTGAGGGCCGGGGACATAGCTCAGCGACATAAGTGCTTGCCTGGCAAGCCTGAGGTCATGAGTTTGATTCCCGGTATCAAAAAAAAAGAGAAGGGTTATTAAAACACTAGCTGAATTTCTAGCTTGCTTATAACCTGTCTGATTGCCTCAACTTTAGTTTCTGCAAATTCCTGTTTCTGTTTTAAGAATACAGATGTTACTTGCAGTCCTACCTAAAATAAAGAAATCCTTAGAATGCTGTTCTTATTTATGTTCATCTGAGTTTTTTTCTGTGTCCTCTGTAATGGTTGATACACCGTGTCAATTTGAGAAGTTTAGAAGTTTAACTAAGTGACTCAGCAGGGGGCCAGGGTCCTGACTTTGTGAACATCCCGAACCTGTGCAGGAGGACGGCAGGGGGATGGTGTGAGCGCTGCGCGCCCCGCAGGGAGCCTGCTTAC